TGCTGGCTTCTACTGTGGACACCTTCTGCTTCCTGTGATGAAGCTTAGTTTGCTGGCTTCTACTGTTTGACTCACTCCTCGTAGGGTATGAACTAGGACCCCCCTTCTGCTTCCTGTGATGAAACTCAATTTGCTGGCTTCTACTTTTTCACTCACTCCTTGTAAAGTGCCCTAAGGGTTCAAAACATCAACCCCAAATGCGTCTCTCGCATGCCCTACCGTACATGAGGGCACCCTCATCCGGAGGCGTCTTCTGGAGACCCCCGTGAGATGCCCATTGAGAGGCACCTTATGCCGTTCATGCAGTCCAAGCAGTCGTTTTTCAGGGGATGGATGACGGGCTGGGCCGCGATCTTCCAACCAATCAACCGCTGGTGCGAAGAAAAGAAAGCGTCGGTCAGGGCCGCCTCTTTTGGCTCTTGCGGCTCTCCGCCTGGGTCACGGATGTCGTTGCTGAACCACTCAGAAAACACGACAAGAACGCAAGCCAGACTCCTTCGTGGCATCCCTCAGGATCAATCCCTGTCAAGCGGGAGCCTCCTGCGAAGGGCAACGGAATGGCCACCGGAAAAGCACGGTCGGGCACCTCGAGATCTTGATAATCTATCTATCCATGTCGATCCTCAGTAAACCATGGGAGAAAGACATCTTCCTTCACCGACAAAAATCCAACGTGAAGCCTGTCGACTGTTCTGCCAGACCCTTGCCACTCATGCAGTACGGAAGGATATGACAGAACAGGTAGTTCTTTTCGATGTTCTTGTTGCAGTACTCGGTACGCGTTGTACCAGCACAGAGGGGCCACAATGCTCTTGTGCAATGTGATGAGGGTGATCACAAACTTTGCCTCGATCTTTGGGCAAGGCGTGCTCTTCACGCTCGTGGCCGAGCACCATCGAGCCAGGCACCAAATCTCCCAATCAGCCAGTCTGGCTGATTTAGGTCGTTTCGCCGCTGTTCCAAGCATGGGTGTAGAAAGGGTGTAGAAACCAAGGCCTCGTTTCTTGGACAACTCACTGCATCACAAGCTGACTGTGCCAAGCATACTCCACGCCGCTTCATCTCAGCACACGGCCACGGCAGTCGCCTCTTCGCCTTCCGAAAGGCGCTCCGCTTTCGCCAAAACCGGCGAAGGCGGACTTCGGACGGGCACAGCAGAAAAGGTGATTCAAAGGATCATCACATCAGCCAGCACCACGGAAAGGGTGGTCATTGGAAGGACAATAGATAGTGAGGGATGTCTATAAACCACCCATTCCAATTCCGTAGTGCTGGAGTGTGCCTTGTTCTTCACTTCCCTTACTTTTCCAGGGAATATGGAGATATGACTCTGAAGTGATGTCACCAAGACTTTCTTGGAAGCCCCAGACGTGGCCTGGCCAAGCAAGCCGTGGACGTCCCCAGACGGTGTCTGTCTCGCGGCGATTCGCACTCGTCATGGCAAGGAGATATGGTTGATGTTCACACACAACCTCAGGGTTGGGGAGGCACCAGACAACCTTCAAAGTTGTCTAAGTGTGGGTCATGTAATGATAGTTAATGCAAGACCTGAATAGTTTCGACTTCTGATCATGAAATCACACCCCTTTTTTGCAAGGGGTCCAAAGGGGCAGTCACTGCCACCAGTCGATTCGAGTGGTGAGCTTCCCTCAGAACCGGAGCTGCTGGAGCTCCTTGAGGTGATGTTGGATCAATGACTTCCGCCTTCTAAGATACCATCTAAGATCCAGTGGATTGGTCCCAAAGCCAAGGAGGATACCATCTGGCTCCATCCTCTTTGGCTGCGCTTGCCGACTTGAGAAGAACAAAAGAGTAGAGTGATACCATCGAAACATGGGAAGGCAAGCGCGGCTCCATGATGACTTTCAGGAAGGAAACGAAACCCCGCACGAGAGCGGAAAATCCTACTCCAAGCCCTTTCTGTCAGTTCATGCTGCTTTAAAAAAACTCCAGTGTATCTTCACTCCTCCTTGTACCAGAATTTAAAAATAATGTGTTGCTTCAATTTCATCCATCCACGATTGGTCCCATTTCTCCGCCCAAGTCACTGCTTCCCGCAGCGCATCCGCAACGGCTCGGCGCGGGGCAGCCTCGACAGCTCGGCGAAGGCCTGGTCATCGGCGAAGAGCGCCGCCAGCAGCCGGTTGACGTAGCTCGCTGTGGACGTCGCACCACCGGGGCTGGACGTCGTAGCTCGGTGGAGCCGCCGGATATGCCTGGGAAGGCGAGGGAGTAACATGGGGGACCAAAACGAGCACTGGTACCAAAGACCTGTACATAATGAAATATATGTTTTTTGTCAACCTGTTGCCTGTTTTACTTCTCTTCAACAAAAAACAACTTTGTCTGGGTGAGACAAATGGCAGTTTGCCCTACCAAAAGGCTAGTACAATCTTACGCAATATGTTATCCCTGAGAGAATCTTTCCTGAGTTTGGGTCACCACAGGTTCACAAGCGCCAGGCTTTGATCGGTCAGACATGTGCAAATTTCACGGAAGCTTGGCTGGGGATGATCTGCAATTGTATCAACTTCAATACTGTAGATTTGAATCTATTCAAAATCAGCCAGAAGCTGTGGCTACCAGTTTTGAGGAACAGGAATTATTAGAAACACACGGAACCCGTCGCGCAAAGGCATGTCTGTTTTCACTGACCAAGCTCCAACGAGGTTCTGATATGTTCTGATCATTCAAACCACCAAATCAATGAGGTTCAGTGCAAAAAGAGCAACGATCTCCATGCAGGGCAGGCGCAGCATGGCTTCCACATTCTCCTCATTTCGTTCACCACGCCAGATGACATCTGCGTCACCTGAAAAGCAAAGATCCGTTCAGGGGCCATCAGGGTGATCCTCAACGCTTAAGCAGACAGGGCCACTGGGTTTAGGACCAAGAACAAAAACCATTCCTGCAGTCTGCAGTGCATGACTCAAAGTCACTATAGAGATACAACCGGAATCAACAAAAATACGAACTCCTTGTTGGAAGTCATCAAGCCGTTGCTTCCACGGAAAAAGAAGATGGTCGTAGTGGTCATACAAGTAGTTGGCCAAATAGTCAAATGGTCAGTATCGTGAAGTGTTGCGGAGGGTACTCACTTGAGCACAAGGTTGGGATTCTTTATCCCAGACTGCCATATCTGACTGGCTGCTATGCCCGTGAAAATCCGTTCGTTCAATGCCCCATGGGTTTCGGATGGTTTCGGAATGTTTTGGGTGAGGCGGCCTGGCGCTTGAACGCATGACATCAGCTGTGCATGACATCAGCTCCACTGTCATTTGGCGTGTCACCACGAAAACCCACGCCTTTGAGGAAGTCGCTTCCGGCGTCCGTCTTCTCCGCCAGCTCTGTCAAAACACCCTCCAGCTCTTCGGGGGAATCAAAATACCTCGCGGAGTTATGCGGAGTTGCGTGCCAAAGCAGATTTGTACCCCAACTGGGGACAGGTTCCGTTCCAGAGTTGAAGCCCTGAGGAAGCTTAGATGTGAAACCACCCAGTGGCCTAGATGCGCCTATAGAGACTTTCAGCCGGACAAAACCATATTCACTAGGGCAGAACATTCATGAACACCCAAAATGCCCCCTTCATCGACGGCTGGTCAGCTCAGGCACTCGTCGGCACGTTCGTGGAGATAGCCTTTCCAAGTCTCCACCTCGGCCTTCACCTGCTCCGGAGTGCGCCGAAGGCCTCGCTCGCTGCAGGGAAGGACGACACTGGGCCAGCGGCCAGCTATGCACCAAAACGTTGCACCGGAGCTTCGGTCTCGAACACGACAGGCGAAAACGGTCTACAAACCGTAAAGGTCACCTTCCTCACCTTCCTCGCTGGCCCAGCCTGCTCCCCTGGTCCCGCAGACCCCCCCCTGCGGCCTTCGACGCTCGCGCTCGCCACGGTCGCAGCGGTGGCGGGGCTCTTTGGCACGGCCGCGGCGCTCGCGGCGGGCGCAGCGCTGGCGCTCGGCTCGGGCGCTTCGCTCTCCCTGTGGCAGTCTGGGGGGGTGAAAGGACGGCAACTGGGAACGATCTTCGCTCGGGTTCTAGCTGACCCAGTTCGAACAGCTCTCCGTGGTTTGAAGTCTGTTGCTGACTCATGACCTCGATGTTTTCGAGGAAGAAGAACTTGCATGGTCACAGACTGGTTGACCACCTTTCTTGCAGAATGGACCATCCCTGTAGCTCGAAAGACTATTTTGCCCCAGTGAAGTAAAGGACATTCCGAAAATTCCGAACTTCGGATCACCTAAAGACCACGGACGAATGGTATGGTGTTTGACTCGACCATGGCGTTTGCACGGTTCTTCCCATCGCTCGACCGTCGGTCGACCATCGACCCCAGCGGTGCAGACCGGGGAAAAGGGCGTGGCGACGGACGATCCGTTCCTTCGGGCCGACAAACCAAATGAGAACTCATATGGCATCAACGTTTGTGAAATATATGAGTTCCTTCCTTCACCATATGAGTTCCTTCACCATATGAGTTCCTTCCTATGCCAGTTGCAGAACATCCTATGGCATCAACGTCTTCTCTTCTCCCAAAAAAGCTGGGGAGGACGGGTGCCCAAAGCCCCCCTTGGGTGGTGCCACTTCGCCACTTCACCGGTGCCGAGAGATCCCCACCGCCTGAGACTCGCCTCCTCACCGAAGGACTCGGTGAGCCGCGCCTGAGAAGTCGCGGAGGCGCGGTTCGGGGCCGGTGGGAAGACGGTGTGTTTGTTTAAAGAATTGGTGCTTGTAGATAAATTCAAATACAAAGAATAAGGTGTGCGTGTGTGTGTGTGTTCTTTACGAAAAGGGTAGTTGTTTATTTGTAAGCTCATATACTCATGAAAACAATGTGTAACAAGCAGGCATGAAAAGCATGCGAGTTCAGGCGCGTGAAAGGCTTGCAAATTTGTTGAAAAGTCGGGGAGCGGCCTTCTGGCTGGTTTCCCAGTTTGCTGCATTCTTGCTCATGGATGATTCAGGATGAACATACCAAAACCTGCACTGGAGCCGGATGTGAACGACCAGGACAAAGACTAACAGATGACATAGTGGACATGGTGTTGGAGGTGTTGAATCGTCTTGTTTTGCTCCACGTGTTATGATTGTTATTATGATTAGGGGCCGGGGGAGCCTTCACCCGGTGCACACACGCGTCCATCGCGACACCGCCGGTTGGCCTTCCTCTGAGCGGTTGAGCACTGGGAACCGTACCGGACGTCCAAAATGCCAAGCTCCACATGCACGTCACAAATAGAAAAAGAGTGAATTTGGGGGCTGGTCGTATACCCCTAGAATACCATTCTTTTGCCTGGAAAACCCTTGGGGGCATGATCTATGAATTCCTGCCAAGGGTTTCTGGCAGGGTCACTGGACTGCCCACCTGAACCAGCCGAAGCTTCAGCAGCCGGCCAAGCAACAACATCCGCTCCTGCTACACTGAAGGTGGTTCATCATGGCAACAAGACACCAGCGGTGGGGTGATCTCCAAACTGCCCCGGGTTGCATGCTATCCAAAACGCAAAACACACAGGAAAGAGAGCAGTGCTCTAGTTTGTAAATAATTTCTCGATCAGGCCTCTAAGAAAATAGAACCAAAGATTTCCTACGTGGGAATATCAAATACAAGAATCATTTCAAGCCCGCTGCGCATACTACCTACTGTTATATGAATGCATACAGTAATCTTAATGTATATTACGTATATGAAGAGAGAGCGAGAGAGAGAGAGAGAGATTCCACTTTTGAAATGAGTTTGAAAGGCTTTAGAACCTCTCAGGTGGTGCCCACTCGTCCTTCCAAAACGAGATCCCGCGTGGGCTCCGGGCCCCTCGGATCGCCCGACAAACACAGAACAAGCAGTCCTCAGAGCAGTCTTCCACCCAGCAGTCCTGCAAGCTGGATCACAAGAAAAGGCTGTATATATAGAACTCTATAACCAAACATGCACAGCCAGGGAGCCCCATGTCAAGTCCATCTTCGGTGAAATCTTTGGATGTCCCCACCATTGCTTTCGAATCGGTGAGTGATGAGAAAAGCCGGCGTCCAGTGTCCAGTTGGTTTAAGGATGTTTAAGGTTATTTGGTTTTGAAGCGAGAAGGATAGATGTTCTGAAATTCCACTCCAGCCCATCCGACCAACCCACCTTGGGCATCCAGTACTGGGCCAGAAGCCCCAAGCCATCCCAAGCGCCCATGGTCCAATGAAGCTCCAGAACAGTGGGGTGGTCCACAATCCAACATAAAATTGCCTACAAGGATGTTCAAGTGGTCCCCAAATAGATAGTAACGGTGTCCAATACATTTTTGGTTGGGATATACGTTTCTATGAATTTGGGGGGTTGTATAAAGGTTATCCACTTTTGCGGGGTACCTCCTGTCCTCCGGCAAGGCCATCTGGAGCGCACGCACTGGAAGCTCCCCAAGCACCTCGTCCAGAAAGCGATGGAAGTGCAAACTGCACCGCTGCGTCACCTGCTCTCGGTCCTGCCATCGGGAAACGCAGGAACCATTGGTGTCTCACTGTATCAACCGTGGTTGGGTTGTGGAGCAAGTCGATATTGAAAATGAGTTCCAAGAACCAAGAACACTTAACCAATCGACAGGTGCTTTCGCATGATTCACTCATGCCAAAAAAATAAGAATGCCGAAGCTTTTCCCTCACGGTCTGGATCTTCACAAGTTCTGCAAGTAAGCTTCCCATATTCTTTGCAAGATTTGACACAAGGACTTGCCCAAGTCGCGACCAAAGCCTCCACTCCCCCCACTCCAGCTTCACGGCAAAACCGCGCTCCCCACGCGCCACGCGCGCGGAGGTGAGCAGCGGCGCCAGCAGCTCGCGAAGCCCAGGCAGGAAGTCCTGGATGAGACCGGCGGGAATTGGTGCTTTTCAAGGGCCCGAAGTCGTGGATCTGAGTTGATCTAGGACTCCAGAGTCGTGCAAGACTCCAACCACCCCAGAATCTTTACAGACCGTCTTTTTCGGCCGAAACCTCCCGACCAACGTCAGAGTCCCAAAACCGGGCGCGTTCGAAGCGGTGGCCCCCGCCCTCCGGCCTCAGGAGGCTCGTGGCGCTCGTTGCTCCATAAGGCATGTTGCACGCGCTCGGCTGCACGCGTCAAACGTCCCAAGCGCTGCGGCGTGGCGTCCTCCTGAAGCGAGGACAGGCGGGTCCGGCGGAAACATGGTTTTTCGGACGGATCGGTTCTGTGGCTCTGTATGGAAGCCAAGCTGTCGCCAAGCTGTCTGGGACCTGGGCAGCCAGCCAAGCTCCACTGAGACCTTCCAAGAGGGTTTTGGACACCCCTTATCACTTGGGTGTCGGTCCTGGTGGTGTCTTAACAGTCGTTAAGCCCCCCCACGGTTCCGTGGACGTGTTGGCACGGTCTCGGGTGATCCATCCGTTGTACCCATGGAACAACAGGCTTCGTGTCGCCAAGTGGCGGACCATTCGTCTCTCTTCGTATGGCACATGGCGAACGTCCGCATGGCATGACGATAAAGCTGCTTGGCACAAATCGCTCCAAAAGCGAAAACGAACAGAAAGGCGCTTAAGATCTAGAACCTGTAAGCAATTCTGTACTAGAACCTTCGTGACTTGCCAAGCCCTGCCAACCGAGAATGCTTTTGGGTGTCTTTGTCTTGTTCCCCAAGTTAAGTTCTTTCCCCTTGCCATCAAACCGTGTCTGGGTGCACCCAACAAGGCAAACTCACCCGTGAAAAAGGCCTCGCCCATTGCAAATGGCCCAAAAATCTCTCACTGAGCCGCCTTCAGGACCTTTTGCAGCTGCTCTTTCCTTGGGCACGACTCAGGACACCACGGACCACAACAACGCCGCCCAAGCTGTCAACGCACCGTAAAACGGAAACACAGAGCAACGTTCGTTCTGGCGCGTGAAGCCCAGAGGGGTGTGGATGCAATCACTTCTTTCGTGGAGTATGAACATCCATCTGGAGTCATCGCATGTGGAGAAAATCGACCCATCCTGATACAGTTTACTCTCAATGGTTTGTCGAGTCTGGTCAATGGTTCACCAATCTGGTCTGGCAAATGTGGAGCAAACGTTTGACTGACCATCTGTCTACTCTCTGTCTGGCTCTGACCTGGGAGACCTGGAAGAACGGACCTGTCAACGGACCGAACGGCCCTGTCCACGGCCAGAACGGCAGGCTCCACTTCGACCCTGTCAACTTGACAACCACGATTGTTTTGCGTTTCGGGTCACCTTTTGTACGTGCCATGGCTGGCCCCAAAAGATTCACTGGATCCTGCCACTTTGCGAAAGAAACAAAGATCCTGGGGCGTCACCTTTGAAAAAACGATCCTGCTCAAGCCGGCACCGCCCCAAGCCACCTCTGAGATCCAAATCCAGGCTTCAGATGCTCCTTCACCCGTGCTGCAGCGTCCAGCATTTGCTGTTCCACCTTCGCCATACATGCCTCACATGAAGCGCAGAACGCGCGAGGTTCTGTTCCCTGGCAAGCCCAGAGGTGTCTTTCTCGTGAGACTGAAGAGACCCTCTGAGGTCACCAGTGCCCAACCACGGCCTCCAAGTGCATCGGCAAGTTGAATGCATCCGTTTTGCCTTGGGAAAGTGGCAGGCCAGGGCACGCGGGGGCAAGCCAAGGCGGCCTCAAATGCAGATAGTAAAATCTCTACGAAATCCTTGGGGATGAAAAAGGAATGGTCACGATGAATGGCTCCTCAACATGACAATCTTTATTGAGAGGCAACCATATAGCTGTCCGACATGCACAACTTCACTAACTTATATAAATATAGAATAAAATATAGAACCTCAAAAGGGAGTTCTGGGCTTTGACAATTCTTCCTCGTGAAAATTGGTCTACGGACTTCAGCCATCTACTCTGAAGCTTCTGAAACGATCAGTCTCTGTCTGTCTGCCTGCGTGCTGTCTGTCTGTCTCTGTCTGCCTGCCTGTCCGTCTCTGTCTGTCTCTGCCTGTCTGTCTGTCTCCATTCTCCATACCTACAGCCTATATATATATATACATATAACAAAAACAGTCCTTTCAGCTACAAACATTGCGGGAAGTCCTTGGCGTGACCGTTGACGAGCACACTTCGGTGACAAGCACTGATGCACCGGCGGCCGTGTCAACCCGGTGGGTGCAAGGACAGTCGCTGGACCGGACCGTGACGGAACGGCAGTCGCACAGCCCTCAACGGCCAATGACGGAATTCGCGAAAACGACAACGGCAGCAATGGCCAGAACCCTGAATTCTGGCCGAATCCGTTCAAGTGCTGATCAGCAATTAGGGGTATGGATAAGCAGTAGGCAACAGTAGAGTGAATAGGCAGAGGTCATCCAAGCATCATTCTCAAGCCTGTCAAAAAGCCTCATCCGCAATCCACACACAATCCTTCCAGCGTCCACCTCCAAAACCTGATCCATCCATATCATATATGCTGAAACCATGCTGCCAGTGAAGCCCGATTTGAAGCTTGGGCATCGCAGGGGCAGCTCCTCTGCCACGTATGACAAGGGCTTTCAGAAGGGGAAGGGGTTCATAGATGCCCCAGCAGCATTTGCACACCAAAACGCATCCTCCAACTGTTGTGTTCAACTGATCCTGATGGTTTTTTGGAACCCTCTATGTCTCCACACGGTTTCTTTTTGAAGAAGTCTGGCTCCAAAAACACTCTGACCCATCATGCGTGGTGAATTTGGGCAAGGAAAATACGCAGAGGATGGCCAGGCCACAATGCCAGAAGACAGCTTGTCTTTGAGTCTTTGACCCATGGAATTCCCAAGCACAATAGCCCTCATCTGTTCGAACTCAGCAAAAATCCAAGGCAGTTGGGTCACTCTTGCCAATCTGGATCTTCACGACCCGGGATCTTATCCCGACTTCCGCGCCCCAAACAAAACGAAACAGAGTGCGCTGTCGTCGCATCTCCTCCGGAAGGCAGGACATCAACCTCTTCTCCAACTCTCCGGCCACCTCGCCGAACACCCCGCCAGCAGCCCAGGCCTCGCGTGAAAAGGCCGTGCGGTGGGGTGGCGCACGGGCGATGGGGTGGCGATGGGGTGTAGCTGGGCAGATTCGATGCGAAGGATGCGAGCCTGTCAGCATGGGAGACCCAGTTTCAAGCAACTTGAACTAGGGTTGGTTAAAGTAGTTTACAACGAATGAAACACACCCAACAAATTTCCTTAGACCTACAATATCAGTTTGGGCCTTCAACAGCCCAAGACCCTCCAACATGCGCGCCCCGCCCTGTCAGCTTGGTGTATCTCCCAGATCTGGCAAAAAAGAAAACAAAACAATAAAAAAACAGATCACCGACGCTGACGCGTTCGACATCGCAAAAAAGAATGTTCGACAAACTGCTCGATCTGTTCATCCGAAGAACCTTCTGCAGGAGATCACGTAGACACTTCGCCATATGTTGACCAAAGAGATCCTGGATCTGCCGCGAGGAGGAACTGTCCGACTCGCTCCTGGCAGATAGAACTTCGGCTCCCGAACCTTCATCCAGGTGTCAAGTGGTGACACCAAACATGGAGGCCAAAATAGATGCCCATGTGCGAGAGGTGCTTTTTGGCACCGGGGAAGGCTCGGCTCGCCCACCGCCAGCGAAACCCCAGGCAGGTTCGCAAAATGCTACAAAAAGAATCCTTCAACGCTAGCCCCGCAAAATGTTTGTAACCCCAAATTTGGGCCCCAAGTTGCACCATGTTTATTTGATTTCCAGTGACCGCAGCCATGCCTGAGATACCAACCCGGAAAAAACGCCAGCGACTTTTGAACTTGCTCAATCCTCATAGGCTTATAGTGATTTATATATATATATATATACTACATATATACATACATATTATATATATATATATATACATATTCGTGCACTTCCTGATTTGCCCCGTGCACCAAGCAGCTGCAAGATAGCGAAGAATTATATATCAATAAGTAAATAGAATATTCACATAAATATATATATATATTATGTGTATATATATATACACACAACCGGGGCCCGAGAGTCTGAAGCCTCAAAAGGCCTGCGAACGCGGACTCGTTTTCTAGGCCGCCGATGCACCCGATCGTAGCATAACATATGTTTGTTCTTCCGAAACAAAATAGAACACCAATCACAGACCCAATGGAATACCATTCCCGGTTTCAATTGCTCCTTCTTCTGTTCAAGTTGCTGGAAAAGGGAAAAGAGACTGGCTTTAATTGGCATAAGAATCATGTGGTGTGACCTGGTGCGAATTGACAGCCGCCTGCCATATGTTTCCTTTCTTCCTTCTCTTCCGTACACTTGCGGATGCCCCCGGCTACTTATAAATTTCACGCGGAGACTCAGCCAATTACAAATTCTCAAGCCCACCTCCAGTCACAAGTTTTGAAGCTGTCTCTTTCTCAAGTACAAAGCTGAGTGATTGAACACTGACGTCCCCCGCACCCCCCCTGAAAGCAATGTTGAAGGCATGTTTTGGGGGTGGCCGCTTTGTTTCAGAACATCTGTAACAGTAACACTGATGACAAGGGGTATGGGGGGGTTGTACTGGAGATGTAAAACAGCAACCATGTCGCTTACTAACATTGATTACAAGGGGCATGGGGGATTTGTAGTGAAGAAGTGTAACAGGAAACATCCATGTGGCTTGTTTTGGGAAAAGACTGTTTTGAGAGTAGCCTATTGAATTACCAGGTCTGGGGCGTCAACTCTTTCTCAGGAGGGTGGCTCGAAAGTGGTCACTGCATTCTGCGTTTCCGAGATGGGAGGAAAACCCTGCCCCGCAAATTTCGTCACATCGCGTCCTTGCGCAACCCACATGGAGAAACAGGCGGCACAGGGCTTGATGTCTTTCATGGTCGTGATGCGAGCTCGAAGCACGTAGATCTTCATGCGCACGAAGCATGGTGGGTTCTGTTTCGGACAATTTCACGCCGCCAAACAGCGCCGCCGAGTAGAGACAGCGCCTGAGGCATGAAGCGTCTGTGATTCTCATAAGGAGGGAAACCGCAGGGGGTGAGCGGGAAAGGGTGCACCAAGATTGCTTTTATCACTCAGGAAATTAGTACATCTAAACACCTTCCACAAATTTCTGCGAAGGTTGCCCAGACTTTGCAACAATTGTGTTCTTAAAAAACAACAAGCCCAGGAATGGCCCACGAATAGCCTACGCTTCCGCAAAAAGGGCCCGCGCCGGCCATGAAGTTAGCAGAACCGGCTTTAACAGCCGAGCGGCCTCGCCTCCACGAGTTCACACATCAGCGCCGACGAGCAGCGCCGCCGCCGTCGCCCAACAGGCGACATAGCGGCTCGTGGGTTTCTGCTGTTGATTCAAAGTCGGACAACTCGCGTAAGAGGAGGATTTCGCGCTCGTCCTCTCATGGTGGAGGACAATTGTCTCAATGTCTAAAAAAGGTAAGGGTGTAGGCCAATTCCTAATTGTAGGGAGCAGAAGTCGCCAAAATAGGCCCAAGCCTTCCAAACACAAATCACAATGTGAGAGATGAAATAGGCCCAAGCGTAGGACCAAGCGTTCGGGAGCAATTCCTAATGATAGGGCGGAAATAGGCCCAAGAAGTGTCTGAATTTAAAGAGAAAAGTTAAAAGATAACAAATTTCAGAGAATCTTTGGGCCTATTTCATCACTGACATTGCATTGCGATTTGCCATCAGAAGGCTTGGGCCTATTTGGCCACTGCTCGGGCCTATTTTCATTCCTGCCATTGTGATTTGCATTCGGAAGGCATGGGCCTATTTTTCAATGTCCTGCGCCGATTTCATCCCTGCCATTGTGGTTAGCACTCGGAAGGCTTCCGAAATGCTGTGGCGAAAAGGCGTGACTGCGACAGGGCGCCAATTTCAAGGCCACGAAACCTATTGATTTCCAGCTTCTAAAGCATGTCCCCTCGCAGTGCCAGCATGGTTGAAAGGAGCACGCATTCATATGGTTGCCTTTTTTGATTCAAGTGACACCACCAGCTCAGTGACAGCAAGCGTGCGTGTACAATGAACGGTTCATTGCTTCTTTTAGAAGCGAAGTGACGCATGCGTCCACACCCGGGCTTCGCCCGGTCGCAAGATCGCAGAGACCATTGCGCGAAGAGCACCCTGACGTAGAATCCAAAGTGCTGCACCCCTGCATGGCTTCACCAAGGTTCTGCAATTGGCCGCATTCACTCGGAAGCACGTTGGGCCATTAGCCAAGCAAGGTCCGCCACCGTCAGGCCTTGCGCCTTCTTCATCAGCTGGCTACGCTTCTTGACCTACAGGAAAGCTTTTCGTCACTGTGCGTCAGCAACCCTTTGGCCAAAAAAAAGCAGTGTGGAAAACGGCTCCAAGGTTTAACCGGGCTGCCGAGAAGGCATTCCTACAGGGCAAACAGGACTCAACTGAACGGCATGACTTGCCGCTGTTCGACCCCATCATTCAAGCTTCTGGTGGCTTCTCCGCTCCTTTGCACGAGGTCACCATCAAGCGCTACGGCCTGAGCAACGCTCCCAGAGTGTGGTACAAGAAAGTGGACCGCACGGTCAAGGGTGCTTCCTTCGAACAGCACTCTTTTGACAGGTGCTTCTACACCCACCGCGGTGAAGACGGCCTCCTCGACTGCCTCATGATTGTGCACGTTGATGACTTCATGGCAGTCTACTCCGAGACCTTCAATCTGGACATCCTCAAGAGCCTCTTTTCTTGGTAAAGCACCACCCTCATCACCACGTCCACTGCGGGCGAATACCGCGGCAAAGAAACCTCTCTCCACGAGGAGAATGACAAGTTCTACTACAAGGTCAAGGCCTCTTTGCGCACTGTGCAATGTGGATTGACCTTCCAATGCTTTCTAGAAACGATGCGCCCAGTCGGACACTGTGGCGCATATGCTACGGACGTCTCATCAAAGTTTAATCAGAGCAGCTTCCGATCTTTGTATTTGTCGGCAATGTACGACAAACTTTGCCAGAAGGTCCAAACCTGAGGCCCAAGATCGCGTGAGGTGAATGGTTGCTCAAAATGTGATTTTTGGGTCTGCGTACCGGTGCCAAAAGTGAAACCGCTTTCCGGCCTTACTTTTAGGACCAACGCATCAATGGGGCCTTTTTTGAAGGCCGCCAGATGGACTCGTTTTTCAGACCAAAAAAATGCCCATCCCGGCCTTTTAACGTAGATCGGCAGGACCCACACAGTCTCTAACACGGAGACGTCCGCGGCGGACAGACCATCGCTTCCGCCAGCACATCCCACTTTTGGATCCCTCGCCTTGTCAATGGCTCGCCTGGAGCTGCGTGAGCCTGCCTCAATCTAAATTGCTCATAGACTTGCAAGGCTGCTGGCCTGTTCTTCAGCCAGTGCTTTCTGCGCGAAGCGACAAGCCAGGGTCCATTGTACATTGCCTTCATCATGCATGCGCAGTAAGTCTCCCAGGTTGGCTTCACAAACAGACGTTGAATGCAACTTTCGGTGGGATAATCTATACCATATCCAGCCGCACAGCCCTCTACCCGGGATTGGCCAAAAAAGACACACGATCAGAACGCAATGCGGCAACCTAGCATGAGAAAAAGCTCTTGGGCATAAGGCTTCCTTGCATATATCCAATCCTGTCCGTAGCACAATTTGTTTATGCAGCATCACACATTCAAATGTTTCCGGTATAGGCGCCGCTACCAACATTCCACTTTACAGTGGTATTTCTGGGTGAATTGACGTCAATGGGGGGGTGGAAGAAGATTGGCACATAGCTAGCGTTGCCTTGACGCACACACACAGTATATGTATGTGGTAGCCCCCCCAAGATCTGAGTCTGAGTATTTCATTTGTTTGCAATGTTTTTTCCAAACAAGGATTTGGTTTGTTTGAGGGCAAATTCTGGAGGTGCATGTTCTATAAAACGGTGCTCCTCATCTACTGTCACTCTTTTAGCCACAAATTCTCGCAAAAGGTCATCTTACAAACCACCACAATGCAAATTCCGGAGGCGCAGGCTTTATAAAATGGTTGTTTCATCTGCTTTCACTGTTTGAGCTTCAAATTCTCACAAAAGATAACTTTATAAACAACCATTGTGTGTCTGTTCCTTAGGTGGCCTTTCACTTTCAAACATTTTCAAACTATCGCCATCCGTGAGCATCCTTCTGGCAAAGAAGATTTTGGAAAGCTTCCATATGACTCCCTTACATTCCAATACCAAATCTTCAACGCCAGCGCTCTGTTTAAAAAATGGTTCGACCGGGCGCCCATCTTAGCTAAGTGAAATGTTCCTTCTCATCAGGCAGAAAGATGAGAATCTAACCTCTGATTTGGGCACATACCGACTATCTGCTTTATAAAATGGGGCTCGGGCTTGGGAACTGCATTTAAATGAGGAATGGATATTCATTTTGCAGTGAGATGCTAGTGGGGGATCAGTTCTTTGAAGTCCGAGGATACCTTTTCCCCAGGAGGGTCACCCGGGCCACCCGGGCCCCCACCCCCGTGCTTGATCCTTTGCAAAAAATACAAAGTTAAGCTCTCTATGTGCAATGACGCGTGCTCCCCACGTGCATTTGCTCTATCCCTTCTCCATTGGCTTTCTTCTTGTAGACTCCCAAACCAAAGCCACAAGCCCAAAAAACATAAGCTCTAAGGATAATCTTTGGCTTCGGCCTGATAATCTGTTTGGTTTTTCTTCCTAAAGAAAGGTTGAACTGCCCTTTTCTTTGCAATCACACAGCGGGTAGGCCTGGGCCCCTGCTCAAGGTTGGCTAAGCCAAACCTACGTAGGATGTCTCTTCAAAGTCCAGCAAGTCTCTCAGTTCAACACGTAGCACGTAGCAGAATGCTACGGCTGATACCCATTGATAACGTGCGAGTCGGCGTTCGTGTGGTCGACCAAAGATACACGCGCCTTTTCTTGCACTTGAGCCAAAAGTAAGCGTTGAGTGTACATGACCTGTACAATTATGGTTTGGCTTGGACATGCATTCGAGAAGCAAAAGTTGTAGATCTGTGGGGGGTCCAGACGGGTTATACAAACAGTTATACGTATACCGTATACAGTATATTTATATACAGTATACAGTATACACAAGAATACGTTCAAAAGAATCACCCCCCTGTTGTCATCATCAAGTCATCCACTTCTTTCACACCTTCCGCCTCTCCCCATCCACCCTTTGGACTCTCTGCCTCTCACCCCCACAAATCTCTTTGGGGTCTCCTCAAGCGTCCCATCTCCTCTGTCTCCACCACGCTCCGAAGAGTGCCCGGCAGCAAATCCCCCTGGCGCCGCAGCTCCGCCAGGTGCGCTGGGGCCAGGGCGCGGGGGAGGCCCAAGGCCAGCTCTTGGCGTCGGATCTCCTCCGGTGACAGCTGGGGCAGATCGGACGACCAGCTGGGCAGCTGTGAGGTAGAGGCAGCTGGTTCTGGCCTCTACCAAGACAGTCATTGAGTTTCTTTGGACCACCAGGATCTTCGCCTGTGACTAGACTTCATCAGCAGTAGCAAGGCCCTGAATCACAACCTGCGCTGAAGATCCCACCAAAAAAGTGGCACCCCGGCACAGTTGAAGACCCTCTCATGGTCGCCTCTCCTGCTCTTCCTGTCGCACCTGGCAAAGACAAAGCGGTTTCAGCGGAAAAAGGAGGTCGCACAGAAATGGGACACTCGTTGGTTTGGCCTTCTCTGTTAGAAAACCAACTGGCTATGTCACTGGGTCCACACAGCGCTGCATTTCCACACAGCGCTGCATTTACAGTGGCAAGATCCACCGAAGTGTGACATGGCACATGGTGGTGGAGCAGTCCAAGAAGAGTACTGAGTACAGTGCGCGTTGTCAGCAGTGAACCTTGTCCAAGGCAAAGGGGGTCATGATGCAAAGACTGAAACTCATCGTTGACGTTGAAAATAAAGCGTACAAGACCTCTTCTCATCCTCATCCCAAGACTGTTCCACCGTCAATAGGAGACTATGATTGCTCGAGGCTCAGTTAACTTTGAAAGACCCTGCCGACCCTGCCTCAGTTTTACAAGTGTCTTTTGCAGGAGTGACTGGTTCCAACAAAACAGCCCCCTCTTACAAAGAACTGAAAGGGCCTTTTTCGAAGGATAGGAAGGCTGAGGAAGGTAGGATCAAGAGCACTTGGCAAGCTATTCGTCCTTAGCACCAGCTTTCAGTTTCAGGACAAGGCACCTTGCTCATGGTGTTGACCTGGGACAACGCACGACGCGTCGGATCGGGAACCGCTGGGCGGTCGGAATTCAGCTGTTTGGAGGACCAGCACGGGTCGCCTGCCGCCTGCTTTTCGGAGATGAAGCGCTGGAACAGCACTCATGGAAGTGAATCTAAAAGCCACCTCTTTAGAGAGCTATCCCTGAGCTAGCCAAGATTCCCCCCATTCTACATCTCTGGGCTCTTCACATGGAACATGGCTCTTTGCTTCAATGCATTCAATTCTGCTCACCAGCGCGATCATGCCGACCAGGGAGGTCCCGACCAGTGCGTCGAGCGGCCAACCAGTTCTCCCGCACAAACTGGTCCACTGCATCTTTGATGTGGCGCCACAAGCTGTTGCAGGAGCATCGCTCCTGGGCGACCAACACGAAGAAAATATGGCTCAAGAGCGGAGCCATAGAAGTTTCTGAGATTTACTATTGCACCTCGGATTTAGAAGGCATTTATTAGGCATGTGTTTCTCTCACCAGGAGAAATCATCACCCTACTGATGCCAAAATCATCAAGTTCAAAAAAGGTTTGGATCCGTGGACCACATCACAAATCTATTGGTTGAAAAGCACAAAGAGAGTCTTCAACGATCCGTGTCGCATCCGCAATTCGCGCCAACAAAATCAAAAGGAATCTACATCATCTTCACCGAAGATTAGGCAACCTACAGCACCAACCTCAACCCCCTCACCCAGGCGAGGCACTAACAAGAAGTTGGGGTCCAACTCATCTCCATTCGCCGCAGCCCACTGCTTGGCGAGTTGCAGAAAGTAGCGCTGCTCCCACTGGGCCATGGCATCCACACGCGACAGGCTCAGCCAGCCGCGATCCTCACAGACCTGGGCGCGTGGCGCTAACCGTCCGAGGCGGCAGAACAGAAGAGGCGGCGTGCGTCACGTAATGTAGATCTCTTGATGAATAAAGCCCAAATACTGTGGACTGTAGTTCTATAAATTGTATGTTTTGTATATATCTAATATATTATATGTATATATATAGGATGGCGCCTCACTTGCGCACACAAGATTTAACTCACCTGCGCACACAGCCTTTTCTTATACATTTAACTCACCTGCGCACACGGGGTTCGCTCAGCTGCGCACACATCGATTACATTCTTTAAACAGTGCATGCTACCTCCAACTCATCTGCACACACAGACTTCGCTCACCTGCGCACACACAAATTGAGTCATGATGATCTCTTTTTGCTCATTGCTTCCACAGAACCACGTCACACAGATGCTCTGCGTTTGATTGATGATGTTGGGTCGGGATGGGGTCGGGGGTGTTAATAACGTTCGTTCATTCATAAGTCATTTTCATTCGTTCCTTCATTCAGCTCAGTTCAGTTTAGTTCATTTCATTTCACTTCAGTTCAGTTCATTTCATTTCATTCATTTGTTCATTCATTCATCTTTCATGTATTCCTTCAGTCCCTCATTCACCCACTCATTCATTCATTCCTTCGTTCGTTCGTTCATTCATTCATTCATTCAGCCGAGCAAGCGGCGTGCACAGCCGAGGAGCGCGTGCACAACCGAGTAAATCTATGCGCGTGTACAGGCGAGGCAAATTCCGCGTGCACAGCCGAGGCTCCGCCCTTATTGTATATATATATATATTTATTTATGTTCTACACGTGATTGATATGAAGAGGATGTCCAATTCAATTGGTGGCCGTTTTACCCAATCTAAGAGATCTACATAATGTCACCGTGAGGAGATCCCCACGAACCCGGCACTGCCGCTGCGCAGTGCGCTCCACCAAAAACGCTGGCAGGTGCCGAGGGCGCCAAGGTTCAATGTCAGGGCACCAAAAACGATAAGAACGAAGGATGGAGTCCCTGGACTTGCCATGGAGTCTCTGGACCTTGACCATCATCTCCGGCCAGCTGTGATGTTCCCGGGTCATTGGTCCACATGAAATTGGTTTTGACCAGTCCATGGACATCTAAGCAACTCGGCAAAGCTCCGGACAGGGTCCCCGCATTTATTGGGTGTACGGTATGGAGATCCAGTCTACTTAACTTTGTGCAGGGTAGTCTTGGGAAGGTCGTGTTTTTTTGCCATCCCCCTTTTTGAGGCAAAACACATGTGCCATGTTCGGTCTCAAGTCTCAATTAAGGCACATCGTGGAGAGCGGTCAGGGTGTAACCGAGGGAGAGGTGCACTCCACCACCCTGGTCATTGGAGGCTTTCAGGAGCTGAAGCAGTCGAGGGCCATGGTGCTTCAGAAACGTGGAGTGCAAACGCGTGGTGCCATCGGTCAAGTCCTCATGTCAATCAGAACATTCTCGGTCGAAACTTGGAGCGTCAGGAGCAAGGAAGCTACTAGGCTAGGGGCTCCTGGCCGTACTACTAGGAGCAAGCTAAGGGCTCCTGGCCTTACTACTAGTAACAAGAAGCCATGAGGAACAAGAATTAGAACTAGAATTAGAATACGTTCTCGGTCGAAACTTGGAGCGTCATACTTCATAACCCTGAACTCGACAGCTCCTGCAGCGGCTACAGCGGCGATGGGGGTTGACCACCCAGCCCACTTACTTCGGGCTGTCATGCCGCCACCGACGGATGTAATTGGGATAACCGGCGAATTTGGCCTGGAAGTCAATCACCAACCACAGGGGACAGATCCCATCCGATTCTCCACACTGCCATAGCCCATCCGCCACTGCTACAAGAAGAACTCCCGTTCTGATCTTCCACGGCAAGCCGTGGCGGAAGATCACAAGTACCAGCCGTATTGGTCTCCAACACAACCAAGCCACCACTTTCAAAAAATATGTATACCCGCAGCATAGAACGCTGGTGGAAACGCCGCCTTCAAATGTGTCAAACATATGCTTTCATGTGTGTTCCCTCTTTTCAGCGCGAAGAAACTCAAACGAAACATAAAAATCTGCCGGAAGGGCATGTGGGAATTCCACACTGCCGCAACACGAGAATGCAAAAACACCTAAAAAGCACCGACAGCGGACAAGGCGCCAACACCAAAAACGAACCCAGACAAGGCGGTGGAGAAAAGGCGGAGAAGGCAGGGCCCACGACACGCCCAAGACAGATCAAGGCAGCCCTTTTCTTCCTATAAGAGAGAACCCCACCAGTAAACGGAATAAAGAAAGTTACATTAAAAAGGGGGTCCCATCTCCGACTCACAGGCTTTCTTCAACCTCCCCAACACTGTTGAGCCCATGTCGTGCTTTCTCTGTCGCTTCGCGCGCTTCGCCGCTTCGGCGGAAGGCGAGGCTCTCCCGTGAGGATGTCCGTCATGGTCAACACGCCCAAGGCGCAGCGCTCCAACCCCACCTGCTCCGGTTCCGCGGAAGGCGAGGGGGAGAAACGCCCCCCAAAACAAGGAGCCGAAAGACAGGGGACCGGTGATCAATGAGCGAAATCTGGTCTAGCCCCGGAGCTCGGTTGGAGCTACTTGGAACCAAAGGCATAAGATGTCCTGGTGTCTTCCTGTTCGGGTAAGTTTTGGTATATGCTGCAAATGAGGTGCACGAGAATAGCCGACGGTATTCAGAGATAGTGGAGGAAAGGTAGTGATCGGTTCAATTGACCCGCCACTGGGTTTGGTCTTGTGTTCCATTTACAGGCTTGGCCATGTTTGAACTTTGAGTATGAGTATGTGGAATCTGCTACATTCCTCCTGGCTTGCAACCTCTGTTGTACATTGGCCGAGCCATGTTTTCTGATCGCAAATTTGTTTGGGAACTTGATACTTGGTGGTGTTGCTCAAAAATGGCCGGCAAATGCCGGCAAAAGGTAAGGACACATGCCGACAAAGATTCCCCAAACTGTCGAGACATTCTGAGGCCAACCGTCTTCTTTGCGTCCCTCTGGCACAAAAACCGCACCCCGTAAGCACTGCCCATCGCTGCACCCACCTCCACACCTAGCAACCTCACCCCTCACACTCAACCCGAAGAGCGCTGGCCTCTTGCACCAAGCGCATGGCCAAGGAGTTGTTCGGCTGCTCCGATGCCTTGACGGCCACCACGAAGAGCGCCGAGTGGCGGTGTTTCTTCGCATAGCTCCTGGGAGCGCAGCAACTTCAGCGGAGGGCGGAACGGCGGATGGGAGCGAAGAGTGGAGGACAAGTAGGCTGAGTTTCCTGGGGCTGCTATAAGGATGAATAAGAGCCTGAATCCCGAACATGTGTTCACTCTACAAAAGGATCTTTTAAAGCTTTTCATGATTTACATGGCAAGATCAGGTCAAGCTTTCTTTGAATGGTCAACCAGGAGGCTAGGGGTTGGACAATCAAACCATGTCAAACGATATACAGATTACATCTCCAGTCCAGAGGCGGGGTTGTTCCTTAACTGTCTTCATGACGTTTCAACCCCCCCAAAAAATCAGAGATGAACACCTCTGGTTGCTTCAGCCTATGTGAAAACCGTCTCCACCCGTGCAGTTTCTACGGCACCTCACCAGCTGCGCGGTGCTCGCCGCCACGTTCTCCGGCCGGCCCAGGGCGGCGGCGGCCACTAAACCAGGGCAGTCCACCACGTCCAGGTTGGGCGCCTCGGGACAGTGACGTGTCGTGACGTGCCTCAGCTTCCGAGCCAAAAGGGATTCGCTGGAGGAGCTCGGGGGTGTTCTGCCCCCTATATAAGAGCGCTGAAGAAGCGTGTCAAGGAAACGGAAAAAAGAAACAAATACGCTTGGGATTCTTGGGAAACCCTCTTCGACTCTGACCTGGTGGCCTTAAAAACCATCATTACTCAGTACTGATCACCCACGCCCACGGGTGGGTTCTGTGTTTCTCATCTTACGTGGCGACAAAACGCGGTTTGAAATTGAATCAGACGTTGTCTTCGGGATGAGGGTACAGCGAAAAAAAATTCACATGTTTCAGGTGCCTGAACCGGCCAGCAAACCTGACCTTGACCCCTGGCCGCCCACGTCTCGTCCGTGGCGGGCGCCCATCGCCTTGGGCGAAATCAGCTCGACCACCAGAAGCTTCTTGGTGCACAAGCCATCTGAAGGCTCCTCAGAGCACAAGCCATTTAAGGTGGCCAACGCAGCTCGTGGCCACCGGAGTCATGGAGTCCGGGGCTTTCGCATCGACCGCAGAACATTTGTGCTTTCGCTCGTCGATCTGACTGGCCAAGGCAAGGAGTTGGGGGCAAAGTGAAAACCCAGAAACCCTCCATGAACGTCACCAGCAAGGCCCTCATCTACTGCATTAGACTCATTAGACACAATTAGACTGACTATGTTTAGCTTCCTACCCACCCATTGGGCCGCATCAGAAACCCTTTTCACCAGGAAAAAGGCATCAGCCTCCAACACCAAACCTCCCCAAACCCCAAAGAAAACGGGTCGAAACCGTCGTTGTTCATACCCCCCAACGGACCAACGCCAACGCCAACGCCAACGCACGCTCGCTCGGGGGAACCCAGCGTCCAAGGGGTCCTCGCCTCGGGGGCGAGACGAAGACGCACCACTTGCGGTGGCCCAGTTCGGGTTCGAGAAAAGAAGACGGTTGGAGGTTATATCATGCGATATAAGAATGCAAGGAGTGATCAAAAAAGATCAAAAATGCGTGATTTCCTGAGAGATTAAGAGCAGTTACTAGGTAGTGAAGAGTTGAAAGAGTTGAAAAGCAGATGTTATAGCCCTTAACAGTAGTTATGAGCGAGTTGTGAGTCGTTACGAGTGGATTGAGAGCAGTTATGAGTGATTTATGATTAAGAGATATCAAGAGTAGTATATAGTTAAATAGGCTCATATCCTCATGATCAAGTGGGTCCCCTATCGTGGTGGCTCTACGCAAACAGGTTGTTGTTTGGACCTCTTGCAGACAGACGATCTCATTGCCCACCCACGGGATCTATGTGCAAACACGCTATGCCGGAGTGCCACATTCGATGAGAAATCCCGCAGGGGTTGCACAAAAACGGTTCACTGTATGTTGTAGATCCATCAAGCGCCCCCTCTCCAAGAATACGAGACAGCTCTACAGCAGAACCTGACAAAAAGAAGCAGCATCAAATATCATAGTGCTCCATTAAAACGAGAACAAACTATGTGTCCTTCAATCAGATGTCACAAAATGATCCCCCTTGTAGAGACCCACGCGCTCTCTACGCAGGCGCGCTGAAGACCAGGGACGCACATGTTGCGCGTAGAACTTCTCACTTTGCGCAGGAGACTCTGACCTCAAAGCCTCCAACCGCACCTGGGGGGGGGGCTGGTCGAAAGCGACGCAAAACAGCCAAGCGGACGTCCTTTTGTCAGACGGCCCAAGGATCTATGAGTTGGGTCGCGTTGTAACCAGGAAAAATGCACACATATCACGTACTGTGGACATCTGTGGACTGTTGATTCATAAAAATTCGAAAAATGTGGAGATGTATAAATATGGAACCATTCTGGTAGTGGGGGGGGGTCATTTCTGTACTGATTCACTGATTTACTCTATGGAGTAAACTATCCAGTCTTTGCGAAACTGTTCGTGGCTCTCGTTGGTAAAGCCAGCTGATACGCGATAGCTGGGGTTACCCCCCACCCAGCACCTCAGTCCCTAAAGGCATCTCGCCTGTCGAGTCATCTCCTTATCACGGCGTTTCCCAAGTCTTTCAATTCCAGTTCCTCTCCAAAAGCCTTGGCTGAAGAAAAGGATGCGATGCCGAGGCTTTAAGCTCACAGCACTGCCGGTGGAGAGACCGGAAGGGTTGGTCCGCTGAAGCAGCATGAAACCAGCGACATGGGATTCGTGGAACGAAGAACCCCTGGGCCCCTTGTACCCGGAAGGAACAAGGGGCTTCCAGTCAGTCATGCATTCATTCATTCATTCATTCAGTCAGTCAGTCAATCAATCAATCAATCAGTCAATCAGTCAATCAATCAGCCAATCAATCCAATCCCTCCAATCAAGCAAGCTGCACTGGGTTCATCTTCTTGCGACTGCATATCTTGAACCAAGAGTTTGAGCTTCCGCGTCTCGCCCCGTCTCAGACGCACTTTGATCAGCGCACGCGTGCCTGAGAGGGCCGGCAGACGAAGGTAGCGACTCAGACCGTTTCAGCGCTTCCCTGGGTCCACACACCGTTGAAAAGCTTTAATTCAAAAAGCATCGCAGAATAGAAAAATCACGTGACTCTTGCCAAAAAACATGTCGTGCAGGGATCCAAGTCTTTGCAGAGTTGAAAGAAAATAGTTTCCAGGTTCTGCTGTTGGACCAAGGTCGCCCAAGGCCTGTTTTCGTTTTCGTTTATGGAGCATCGACTTTTTGCAGGGGTCGATGGGAGTATGGTGCAGCATGTCTCCATCAATATGAAGGTGCTTTTTGATCTCTCAACAGTAGAGACCCACAAGGACTCTGATGCGTTCAGTGCTGATAGATTATTCATAATCATAGCCCCTGCTAGATGTGTGTGTGTGTAACATCTCCCTTTGTATCATGTCTTGGACCTGCCTCCTCTACTTGTAACGACACCAAGCTGCACAGATCTGCATTCCTAGGGAAGATTGGCAGTCCCGTCAAACGCTCCAATAGCGTTGACTTCCCTGTGCTCTCCTGCACGCCGGTGACAGTGGTCAAGCAATCACGGCGGCAGTTTATCCGGCAGACAAGTCATTGGGAGGCGAACTCATCTCAAATGAAGATTAGACCCCAGATAGCTATGGATAGACACTCATCTCAACTCTATCTGTCTCATTTGGGCATAGACCCCAGATAGCAAAAGATATTTGTGGGCGCCCTGTAGCACCAGCACCCAGGCTCCAAAGCGCACACTTATGCACACAGGCACCTCTTCCTATACTGCACTCGAAGTAAGAACCCTAATAGCTCTAAAGAGACAAACTTAATCAATGGAAGCAGTATCACCGTTATCCCCTGTATTGAAGGGGGAGCACCCCAAGCCTGTTCAACACACCAGTTCTCTGTCATTGTCACAACCCAAAAAGTTGTGGGTTGAAGGATGTCACCCTCTTTGATCGCCGCAAACTCGCCCAACAACCACAAAAGAATCATGACAGTCCAGGTGAACAAGCTACTGGGGGCTCCTGGCCTTGCTACTAGTAACAAGAAGCTACTAGGTGTCGGGAGCATTGAATGGCGATCCAAGGCGGCAAATTCGGCCTTTTTCGAGGGTGTTTGTGTCACCTCTCCTCACCTGAGACCCATCCTGCGACGGACCCACTTGTTTGGGACCCCCCGGACGAGGCGACGCGGACGCGACGCTCCGCTCCTGGCCCAACATGATGACCTCCGCAGACGGGGGATCCAAGCGACCCGGCTGGATGTGAAGCAAAGCGGAGCTCTCCATCATTGTAGCAAGATTCCATGGAAGAAACAAAATAAAAAAGATTACGCCAGCATAGACCCAGAGCTAGGCACAATCCCACGACCTGTTGACATGCGGCACAAGAAAAATATATAACATGTTTCTATAGAAACTATCGCATGGTTCGACATCCGGTGATCTCACTCAAAAATATTCCAACCCCCGGGAACACCGTCGATCCCTCCCTCTGTCACTTGCACCGGCGCCCTTAGAAGAATGGCGCCTGTGGGGCTGTGAGCTGCTCCACCGCCACCAGGTCCTTCAAGGGGTCGATGACATCAAAGAACCCCGCGCAGCGCTCGGCACCTCGGAGAGATGACTCAGCAGCCTCCAGTTCCAAAGCCGATAGCACTCCCATGGAGGTTTTTCTCCGGGTGCCCCTGTCACATCCACTCGCTGGGACTCAACACACCCCTTCACCGGCGACCTCCCCCACCTCCCCACCTGCTCCCCTCGCTGCGAGGCACTCCAGGTCTCCAGGAGCCCCGATTGCTCGTTGAAGAGCACTTCCTTCAACCGCTCGTTGAAGGCCTCCACGTCCTTGTAACTGGCGCTCCGGTCCGGAGGTCCGGAACTTCGGTCCGGCGGTCCGGGAGCGAGGAATGCACTGCCAGAGGCGATGGGATGCTCGGGAGATCAGGCGATGGGGATTGGACCGAGCCCGAAGTGGAAGTTCAAACCGAAGTCTACGGGCTCCTAAGTCTCTAGTGTTTAGGTTGAGAGGTGAAAAGAGCTGTCAAGCAGCGCCATTGAAAAACCACTCTTGGGATCTTTGAGAGATCCTGATCATCTCCACATCCATCCCTTCTGTCAGCGACCAAAAAAAGAAGGGAAACGGCGTGTTCGAAAGATGTCTCAGCCAAGCGACCGGAATCGATGCTAAAATGGCATCCACGTCCTCATCCGTTTGATCTCCGTGTCAGACGGACCCGGACCGCCGAACACGAAGCCTGGCCGCCTGGCCGCCTCGGACGTCCCAGCACCAGCGTGGTGCCCGTTTCGGATCGAAACACCGAGCTGGGGGGGGGTCGCGTAAGCGTGACCGACCAGTTGAACGGGGGTGGTGCTGAATGGCGCTGGGCCTTGTGGCTGTCCGAAAGCCAGACGAAAAACAGAACGCCAGAAAGGCCACTCCGCGCTCTGAATGGATGTGTCATTCCAGTGAATGGGACCCGTTTGGGGGAGGGCAACAAGAAACCCAAAAACAAGGCTGCTCATCTGAAAATTCTGCGGATATGCTTGTCTGCACCCACCTCCCCACCTCAGCCAACACGTCTATGAACTTCTACATGGCTCCCCTCGTGTTTTCCACCAGCTTCCCATCAAAACCTGGAGACCCTCCAAACGGCCTTGCAAAAGCACCCAAGCCCCTCCACCGCCCCCAGCTTCCGCTCCTCCTGGCGGCTCGCTTTGCAGTTTCGGATGTCCAAGGTCTCCCGCACGCGCGCCACCTCCAAGGCCGCCTTCGCCGGCACCTCGCAGGACGGAGGGTGAGACGACGTGCTCTCTCCACGTGCTCTCCAGTCAGGCAGAATGACCTGTACCATACAAATGTCGGCTTCCTGGCAAAGATTGATGAGCACTATGTGCAGTGGTTGGACAGCAGCTTGCTAGCTCAACACCTCCAATGCTGTGGTAGGTGAAAGCAGTGACACTGCTGTTTGCTGTTCTTCCACCTTTACTGAGCAAGAGAGAAGCTTGCCAACTTGCTCAAAAGTTGCCTGTGGAAGTGGCTGAAGTGGCTAATTGCCAAATCAACCTTTTTAGGTGCCTTCCGGCCACCCGCCACCCAGAAGCATACGACTGCCTGACCAGTTTTACAAATTCTTGCTCAGCTGTCGCAACCAATCTGCTCAGCAACCGGCACATTCCTGGCGATAGAGCCAATCTCCAAGCAACGTTTGCAAACCAAGGCTCTTGCCCTGGGCGTGTTGCAGTGGCCAATGCTGGCTTTGGTTGAATTCTCTCAACTGTTAGGAATGCTCGTTGGGCTTAGCGGTTTTGTGTATATAAATGGTGCAAACGATTTCTTTCCATCTGACAGGATGAACAGTCTGTGGGAGGAAAGCCAAATCACCACGTCTTTAGAGCGCAAAAATGCTTCTCTTATCTCCATCACCATAGAGAACGTAACCCACCAAAATTATGGCCGGAAAAAAAAATCCCTCCACTTCAACCTATCACATGTCACAGCCTGTTCCTGCTAGTTACCCTAGTTTTTCATGGACCGGTCCTGTCGTGGCTTCACCGAAGCCTTGCCCAATCTATCTAGATTGGCCCTGACTAGATAGACCCCCGAAAGTCTGGCCCAATCTAGGTCTTCTTTTAATTCCCCAAACAGTGTGGACACACCTCTAGACCTCACACACTGTTTGGGGCCTCTTGCTGGGATAATATCGAGTCTATTGATCCGTGTTTTGAGACTCGCCCAACGGGCCAGCGCCCACGGGCTGGGCTCGCCTGGCTCCGCCTTTTTTTTTGTGGGTCGTGTGCGCTGGTCACATTCAGCCGCTCAGGCGGAGGGAAGAGCATTGCAACCTCCGGGCATGAAAAGGGGCAATGAACGGTGACCACCTGGTTGTGAAGGATGATAGAAGGCTTGTGTATCGAGAGTTGTGGCGGTAAATTCTTCAACAAAAGTGGAACGTTGTCTTCCAACTTGCCAGGTATCGGTGTTTATTTAGAGTTGTGAACATGTCTTTGTTGAAAGCTTGTCTTTCAAATCTACCGACACCCTCTCCCCAGGTCACCGGAAAGCCTGGGGCCTCCTCGGAGTCCCGCGCGGAGTGCAGTCCTCCTATCTCTGCTCTGCGCGACGTCCCTCCCCTCCATGCAACCCAGGTCGTTCTACACCCAAAGGCTCAGAAAAAGGACCCTAAGTTCGCTAGGGTTTTGACCCTCGCAGCCAGGGTTTTGGACCTCAAACATAAAGCAGTTTGAGGGTTCATGAGCCTCTGAGCAGCATGATGGTATAAGTCTTCACCTGATCAACCGGGTCTGGTCTTGGGACGGGTTACCAGTGCTTTCCTGGTCTGGCCAGACCCCTCCCCCCAAGTCATCCCGGTTGTTCCCAGTTTTGCAGGATCGACTCGGATCATGTCGTCCTCAGTTCTCTCGAGTTCTCCCGTCCGCAGTTTCTGCCTGGTTCAGCTCCAATTCTTGCCTCGGAAGTTCTCTGGACCCTCTGAGGCATTCCAACATCTTACTGATATTCATGCTGAACTAAGCCGTCCCCAGGTGAAGCACCTCAAAATCAAACCAATCTTCCGCAACGTTTTCACGAACCCGTGCTGCCTCCCAAACGTCTCGTTCGGAATCAGGTCTGGGAAACCAAAAACACGTCTCGACGTCCTCACCACTCCAAAAATATTGCCATGACCTCAAACACCTTGTTGACAACATCCAAAAGTCCTATACTGGTATGAACTGGTCAGATACCAGTTCAGCCTTCCAAGTCATCTTCATGTTCGCAGACCTGGTCAATTCGACCTTCCTCCCATCCCTGACCAGTGGCGCTTTGGCAATCTCCGCCATGACCCAAATCCGCGAAAAGACCTACGACCAGAGATGCACTGACCTCCACCCACAACAAATGGAAGACCGTCCACCATCGGATGAAGCACGTCTCTCAAAAAACGGTGAGAAGTCATGTCCGCAACATTCACAGGAGCGGGAAACCATGCGAAGTCTGTTTGTACTCACTGAAAACCGGACACTTTCGCAAACAAACAGTCCTGCGAGCAATCTTGTCCAAGGCTGATTTCCATGCTACTTCAACTCAGCAAAGAAACACACATCGCATGCCATGCTTCACCTATCGGCACGCACCACAACCAGAAGACGTCAACCCAGCTTCCGCTCCGCGCCGGGGGCCCCCCGGGCTGCACCCCCCCGCCCGCCCGAACTGGCCCGGGAACGGACGGACGACCGACGCCCGAGCGAGGCCTCAAAGGACTCGTCCACCACGATGACGTGGCTCAGCTTCCGTTGGATCACCTGGTAGACGCGGAGAGGAGTGTCCGGTCTCTCTCCGGCAGTCGAACGGTCGGGCGGCGTCCGAGGTTTTTCGGCACCACCCGAGCGAAACGGGAGGTCCCCCGCCTGCGGCACTTCCTGGTCCAACTTCGCCATCATCGAGTCCTAAAAGAAGCGCGAACCAGGTCGAAAGACAGAAGGCCAGGTTTTGGGGGCTGTGGAATTCTTTGTGATCCGATGTGCAAGGCACGGAAGATACGAAAAAAATTGTTTGAATATCGGAATCTGGGCCCAGCTGGTGTGGGATCGTTCATGTCGATCGATCGTCCGATCACTGGATGGTCGAAAGCGTGCCACGTGCCCACGCGCCGAGGAAGTGCGAGTTCGCCGCTTCGAAAGCGCACCCCGTGCCCGAGGGGGGGAGGGTGGGTGGCACTGGGTATGGTATAGGGACTGGATGTCCCGGCAAAAGAGTTATGGGAAACACTAGAAAACTGAATTACACTGTGCAAAATTAACATGGAACCTGAAAGCCACTGGCTTGTAAAGGAAAATAATCTTCCAAACATCCATGTTCAGGTTCCATGTTAATCTTCCGGGGTGTAAACGGAACCTATATACTTGAAGCATTCAAGGATTCAAGGATCACACTTCAGGCAAACCCGTGCGTTGTTTTTGACCTGGAGCATATCGCCAGCATCTCCGCTTCACCGGCAGTTCGCTTCTGCGGATCACCGAACAGGCGGTGTCGGTGGTGAAGTTTCGCGTGCCCGAACTGGGTCAAACGGGCCCATTTGACCTACGGGCAACACATGTCGGGCTCTTGAATGTCCAAAGACAAGTGGAACAGACTCTCTTGGTGGAACATGCCCTGGAACAGGGGCCATGGTCCGCTTCCATGTTCGTTCTTGGAGGGTAGATGTATCAAGGAAACAAACAAGTGACATCCATCTTCCAAACATTTGTAGTCTGTAGTCAAAGAAACCACATGCCATCATCCAATCAAGCCCCCCCATCAGCTATGTACCCAAATGCCGTACCTGCATCCTTCATGCCTCCACCCAAAACATGGTGAATGAGATTCCAAAAAATATGGCTCCACTTCCAGTCGAGGAGCAAACTTGTCCATCTCGCAAAGTGCCGAAGTGTTCCAATGCTTTGTGGTGTCGCAGTTGCATGTTTGAAATTCCTGGCCAGTCACCTGTCAACAAGAAAGCTTTCAGCGAGCAAAGCATGGCGAAGCTAGCAGGGGTCACAGCACCAATGAGGTGGTGGTGGCAGAACCAATGGAAACCACTCAACTAGCACTCAAATAGACCCTTGTCTGAGACAACTACCACCACTCAAACAGTCTGTTGCTCATCCTCGGGGAGCAAGGAATTCCTGGAAATCGGAAGAGACATGGTGGCAAGGAATTCCTGGAGGGTTCGAAACGTGGGCCAGTCTACCCAATCAAGAGACATGGGTTTCTCCCGACTGAATTACACACTCATGGCCCATGGCCGCCATGGCCCATGTTTGTTCAAGCACGCAAAAGCAGAGCAAACTCACTACGGCCTCTAGGGCCAGGGATCTTAACTCTTCTACTATGAGCAACTGCAGGAAAGAGACTTGTGCTGATACCTCCCTCCGAAAATCATGGAAGCAAAACCAATAGTGTTCTCTTGCAAAGAATTGGTCGATTTGGTACCATATACTGCCTATTGGTTGTTCAATTAGGTCTCCCTTCTATGCATCAACCAAACAAGGGCGTAAAAGGCCATCTATGAGCAAAACAGGTCAGCACTCAAGAACCATTCTACAAGAGAGATAGATAGAGAGAGACAGAGAGAGATTCTCTCATGATTTGGCTCACGCTCTGGTTTGCACCCCCTGCTCCTTGATGTGGTGAAGGACACGTGTAGAAAACATCCGAAAACACCTGAGGAAGCCACAAAAGCCCCTTGCACGCGGTCCATAGCAGCACACCTGCGTTCCCTGGCGTCCCTGACTTCCGAGTGCCGCCGCGGGCACGGGATCATGGACTTCTCGATGATGCGACTCCAAGAGCTCCTGCAACTGCTCCGCCGTCTGATTCTCTTTCCGCTGAGGAGCGGAGGGCAGTCCGCCACAAATGCATGCGTGCTGGTTCACACCTCGGAGAGAGTCACACACCCACCGTTCGGCTGGTGCCTCCAAGTCGGTGGCGATGGTGTGCGGAAAAAGATCAACCCCAACCAACCCGAACCATGTCAGGCTTTGGTTGGAGTGGAGTATGAATCGGTGCATCAAGGAAGAAAAAGAATATCGTCAGCCAATGCGTACCTATTCTTCAAGAGCAGGCTCCAATGTCCTAATCACGTGGAACAACCAAAGACTGAACGTATCTCGGGACCTTAACGAGCTGCTGGCACGGACATGTGTGGACATGGACATGGGGCCGGGATGGGTCAATATGAATCTTCAACATGTTGACCTTTCATAATACCCTGCGAGTCCAAGACGATTCTTAAAATGGTCTTTAACTGACCCGAGTCAAGGATGTTTTCTTGGGAAATGTTTTTCTTGGGATACAGTACCTGACCCGTACCCTCAATGGACATTGACTCACCTATTAGATCTATTAGATGTACATTTGGTATTCTGACATTAGCGGGTTCACCCTCTTGTGCCTTGGGCATGTCAATGAACGTCGTCAAAACAACTTGTGCGCCCCTGTCGTTCTGCTTGGTGTGTTTTTGTGTACCTTCTCTTCTTTTGCTGGTAACTTGGTGGTTCGTTGTGGACCGATCGCCCATCCCCCAGTTGCAAACCATGGGGTTGTTTTTTTGGTCAGACTGCTTGGCCAGCAAAGAAACAACCCCCAAAACCAAGTGGACATCCCTGGTCATCAGTCCACGTAGGTCTCTGTAGGAATGGAATGACTCACCGCCCCCCGAGATCCAATCGCCTCGTAACGACCACCAAAACAGAAGCTGAGAAACAAAAGAGACACATCCAAAAGGTATTTTGAAGCGCATCCCGTCGGTCCAAGCGTTGCCTTCCAGTGGGTCGATATGACAGTTGACAAGGCACCAAAACTTCTCACTTGTGGACAGGACAGCCGAAAGCCATCTGCGAAACTTTGCAACTCGCTGCTACGGTCAGCTCTCCCTCGGATACTAGAGCCGGTGCACGAACCCACCAAAAACTGCTTCAATAAGTTCCATGGTCAAGCAATCAAGGTTTAGTTTAGTGGGGAAACCCATTCATATCAAAGGTTATCCACTGACCAGGACAAGGCCATTCCCCGGCCGCTGATTCGTTGGAGCACATGGATACTTGGTTGGTGGTTTCAACTCAGTTGAAAAATATGAGTCAGTGGGTTCAATCATCCAAAGTATATATATATATAAAGGATGAGTTGAAATAAACAATCATGGTAGCTTCCAAAACAATTCCTTACACATCCTTACACCAGCATCGACCCAAAACAGCAGCGGCGACTCGCTGTGTGTTTTTGCCAGTGAATTTCCTTGCATCTTGTTGCTTAGGCATTTGAGACCAAGGGAGGCAAAAGGCCAGAAATCATCTTGGCCATCCAGAAGGGGCATGGGGACAAAGGAAGACAAACAGCATCCAAAGAGCCATGGGAGACAAAAGGAGACAACAGGACTCAGGACAGAAATCCTTTTGGCCAAGGATCGTTTCTATGCAAGAATTGAGAGCCCCTCACAGCAAAGCTGTTTCAAAAAATCCTACCCAACTGTCGTGCACTCTGCCTCAAGTCCTCGAAGCTTTTCTCCTTCAGCTGCTGTGCTGTTGCCTCATAGCTGGTCTCGCCCAAGGCATATCCGATGACCGCTGCCACGAGGTGGCCGAACAGGTTCCGCCAATGGTGCGACACCATCACCGTGGCCAAGCATGGCACATTGCCTGCCCAAAACCCAAACCCGTCGGTCGTCGGGTGTTCCCACCCAAAAAAGCGGCCCCAACACGGCCTCTCCGTGGGTGGACGTGCCCCAAAAAAGGTGTTGATCCCTAATTCTCCCCCCAACCCATCGGACCCCACCGCCTCGGGGCCCCACCGGTTCTGTTTCGGTGCCGTTCCACCCGGTCCACCCGGTCGATCTGTTCGGGACTTCGACCCACTCGACCAGTGGCAGCTTGTCCAAGAGCGGTATTTGGAGGCATTGCCAGTGCGCCGGAATTGCGCTTGGCCACATTGCATTTTGCCCCCAGCATGTCGATGATTTGGAAGACCTCTCTCTTGAAAAGACTTTGTAGAGCCAGGAGCCAGGTCCGAAGTGCTGCCAGATCGGAGAAGACTACATCTTTCATCTTGAGAGTTCCTTTAACTTTCTCTTCCAGACCATCTACGCCCTTGATGCGCTTCGTCTCAGGCCGGGAATCCGCGAAAATCCCCACGCCTTCCGCGAGCGTGGCATAGGCGCAGCTTCCTCAACTGCGTCACTGTGTCACAAAGCACTGCAATTGACTAAACCAACCACTTCTTAAAGGCCAATCCAGGAAAGCCCTCCAAGTGGGGAATGCGCTGCATCCGAAAACCACCTTCGGTCCCCATGAAAAACACATAGGCCCCACCGTCGAACCATGATAAGACCTCACAGAAATGTTCAGTCGTCTGCACCTGTCCAATCAGGGGGTCTCCAGTACTTACAGTACATTGCTTCACCAATGCTTCACCTCTTCACAGCTTGGCATCCATAAGAGGTGTGCTTGGTGACCGGGATGATGGCTGAGCGCACCACATCATGCGTCGTGTGCCTGGGATGAACTCCGCGGGAGTTCGAACTCGCTATGATCGGGGCCCAAAAGTGGTCCGGCCAGGTGGTGCAAGGACGCTACGAACGGAGCATTTCGGGCATCGCTACGAACGGAACAAGGTTCGCTACGAACGGGACTCCTGGCATCGCTACGAACGGAGCAATGTTTGCTATTAGAAACAAAACCCCCTCCAACCAGTCGATGTGTATTCATTACTGTGATCTATATCATAATCTATCGGTTAATGTTGAGTGTATAAGGGTGTATATTCAAATTAGTTCGATTTATATCAATTATATCATGCATCATGTGTTTCAGACAGTCCATATCAGATCACACCTGCCAGTCGTGGTCGCTCCAATTTCGAGGGGAGCACAGCACCGAGCCAAGCACGTCACCGAGCACGTCTCGCGGAGCTATCGGCCGGTCGCCAGCTGAGGCGAGGGGCTTCTGCGCGTCGAAGTGTGGCATCAGCTTTTGCCCCAGATCCCCACGCAAGCTGCCTCGCGGTCGGTGGAGACCAACCATGTGGACAGTGACAGCGAGAAGAAGACGACGGCGGTCAAGACGAACGTCAAAAATAAGAACGCAGGCGATCAAGAATTCACAAAGAGACGTGGGGTTTTCAGAGAACTCGTCATGCGTTTCTGGTATCATCTGGTATCTATTGGCATGTATACTGTCATCCGTGTTCGACCCAAAATACCTGTCATTATCTCCATCGCTGCCCCCGGCCTTCGGAGAGGCTCTGGTGAAATCCCAAGATGTGCCCCAGCTTGATGCCACGGTGGGCCTGCCATGCGCATGCTGCATTCATCGTGCGCACACCAGCACGAAAAAACCTAGGGCCGCCTGCTGTCGGAGCAAAAGCAGGGTGGCTGTCAGGGATTCCCCAACTGCGATTCAAACATCTTCCAAGCAGATCAACTGGGCGTCTTTCATTCACCTGCATTTGTGTCAAGTCAAGTAGCGGATAGCAAAGGGAGGCGCAGGTGACGGCTACAAAGCAGCCGCTCACAGCATTCCAGTGTGTTTGGTGGGGGACATAAGAAGAAGAAAAGCGACAAAAGCCATTGATTGGGAGGTCTCCGAGGTCTCCCCATCAAAACATGAACAAACAGAACACAACTGTAAAAGATTTAACAAAAAGAAATATAATGAAACAAAAGAGACAAACCCTCAATAATATGTGGATTTACGTCATAGGAGTTTAGAGTTTTCAAAATGTGGGAAATACTATCCCATCTGGACACTTTTCCCTCGACCAAGCGGCCAAGTCATTGACTTTGCCATGCCAAGCCTCCCTGGCCTCCCGGTCCTGACATGGCAGATGGAATCCGCTCGTATCAAAAAGCACCAAAAGAACAAAACTCACTGGGTCTGGGTCTCCCAATGGGGAAGACCTCTGGGTCTGTGTCTCAGAGTTTCTTTGGTAACATCATTCAAGCCAAGCCTTGCTCAAGCCGGGGTTCTGTTGGAAGGCTAGCCTGAAGACCCCAACTTAGATGTTCTTTTTCGGTTTCGGTCTGCGGATGTGACTTCGAAATCGGCGACAAACTGATGTAACCTCCAGACCACTGATGTAACCTGCGGCTGTCTCCTGGCCTCTTCGTTCTCCGCTTCCTGCACATCTTGATCCTGCTGCATCGCCATTGAGTGATATCATCTGGGATGGGCCGCAAGTGAAGAGTGCTCCTATTGAAGCCAAAACTCCGGTGAGAGGAGTAAACCTGAAACTAGTGCTCCTGGTGAAGATTTAAACCTTCACTTTGCCATGGAATCCGAACCTGAACGACCAAAAAGCTTCGGGTGGTGTGGAACCTGAACCTCAACTTGAACAGAAACAGGGTGGGGCTCCAGCTTCGGCATCCAACCAGCAGGTTGGTACTGCGGGTTCGTTCCCGATCCCAGCATGAAGGGACATAGATCCTGTAGCATAAGTGGTCGCACTGGCGAGATCCCTGCAGCGGCTGTAAATGGGAATGTGGCCGAATCTGAAGGGCGTGCACTTGAAATCCTGCGGGGGATCTACAGGGTGACGTCGCTGATTCGTGGTCGCCGGGAGGCCGGGGGTTTTCTCGGGATCTCCAACCTGTATAAGTACGGTACTAAAACTAAAACTAGCTACTGCAGGGGGGGTCCTGTTCGGTCACACAATCATCTAGTGTCGGGCCTAGAAGAGATCCCTTTTCGGTTTTGACCCACTGCCACGTGGATTGACCCAACAAATGCGTTCGGTCTTCCCATTCCCAATGCTCCAACCTACGCCCAAAGGCCTCTCCCATCAGATGAACCCATTTGTTGCCTTGGCTTCGCCCTCCTCCTCGCTGGAGCTTTGGCTTTCCTGGCAACAGATTTGTCCACTGAGGAGAACTTGGTGAGCAGCCAAACTCCGGAGTCTGGTTGTTCATTGTCAAACCCATTGATGGAACAGAGGGCACCCACCTGCAACCACGAAAGCACCGGAATTCGTGATATTTGGTCCATCACCTGCAGGAAAACGGCATGCTCGATCTTCCTGGAGTCTTGCAGGTACTGTACCCTCCTTCCCTTTCTGGCAAAGCCAAGATCTACTTCTACGAATTCCATGGACCATGCCCACATTAAAAACATTTATATAAGAACTATCTCCACCACCGGATGATATTCATCTCCGGATTCAGTGTGTTCACCTGTTAGACAAACTCTGGGGATTCCCAATGTATCAGGAACCCATGTAAGGCTACTGAGAGCAGTAGATGTTGCCACAAATCCATACCACTTACAGACTGACATCCCTGTACTGCTCCATTCCTTCAGTGTTGCAACATACATGTCGATACCAAACACTCCAATCCTCAACAGCCTCAAGACCACATCAACAGTTGAGGAGCAGGCAGTGGCTCGCTTTTGCGGGGGGACAACAGGTCAGGTTCCTTTCAACCCCCCCCCCCTCCGAGCTCGCTCGAACCGCTCCGCGGCGCTCGGTCGACCCCCTCCTCGCTCTTCACCACGATCGACCCGCTGCTGTCGCTGGCGAAGGGATCCGCCCCGGCCACGTGGCGCGCGAAGGGCGAGGCTGGCGGTGGGTGGCGTGGCAGAGGTTGGGAAGACAGGAGAGAGGGAGATTCGGGGTGTCAAACGGCCGTGGGTTTTTAAAGATAGGCAGACCTCTCCCAAAGGCCTAAAAAAAACCACGAACGAAAACCCAACCGTGGCCCCAACCGGTTGTATTTTTGCAGTACAAAAGATCCAGAAGATGAAAGAATCGAGGATCTGCCTCTGTTTGCTGGAAGAATCGGAGAAAAAGCTGATGAGTCCAGGTATCCTGACCTTCACACTCAGTCCAGTATTTGTACAGTTCGATGGTGTTCGAAGACCGTTGGAGTTCTAACACGTCTTCGACGTGAATGGAGTTCAGATGGTCTGACCGACACCTCGGTTATCTCGGTGACCTACGACGTGAAGGCACCTCAGGTCAACAGGAAGCTGCTGCTGAGGTTTGGTGGGGCATAGGTTTATGCAGGTTCCGGAGGTCAACTGAAAGTGAAAGCCTCCTGAGGAGACCGGAAGCAATCCACAAATGTTTCCAAATGTCAGGATTGCGATTGAGGCTGATCTTCCATGACCCTTCCTTTATCTATGCTCTTTCGTTGATTTGCATGTGTACAGTGCACTGGTTTTTCGACTCCGTCTTTCCATCATGTCTGAGACAGCTGAGGACAGCTGTGGACGTGAGGGGAAAGGAATGAGGTGAATGAGAATGAGCCGTCTCCCATGGCCAGTGCCCAGGGCTGGCGCTGAATGGCGCCTGTGGAGAGTTGAGATTGAGGTGACCTGTTCCAGTAGTGAAAGATCAGAGGATTGACCTCTCTCAGGATGATCCAAGGTGTGATGGAGACGACCACCTCTGGTCGTCCGATTCAGTGGTCTGACTCAGGCGACTGCGACCTGCAGACATGTGCGGTGCTTGCCATTCTTTGAGAACCTGATGTAGACTCTTGACTCTTGATTGATAAACCTCCCCAATTGAATGCACTCACTTGCGGACAAAACGTACGCTTCCACACATACCCGTATGCCACGTATTGTGGCGGGTGTTGGATTGGAAATCTGGTTCATATGGGTGCTTTTATTAATCACGAGTCTACATTTTGTTGGGTTCAATTCGGCTCGATGTCAACTGCGGCCGCCAGAATCAGAGGGTCCAAGATGCCTGGAACTAGTGCTGTGGTCGCCTCATGTTGTTCAACACATCGAACCCAGAACTGCTATACTGATATCTATCCGACCGGATCCAAAGCATTTTCGACTAGGAGAAAAGGGCATCGCTACGAACGGAACAAGGACGCTACGAACGGGGCTCCTGGCATCGCTACGAACGGAGCATTCTTGCTTCTAGTCTTCCAAGACCCTTGGCCCTGTGCTTGCCGTTTTCGCCGCCTCCTTTCGATGCTGCGCGTTTGCCCTCATCGGGCTCAGCTGGATCAGGATCCTTCTCCTAGGCCAACAAGGAGCTAACATTAAATCTGCTTGTAGGAGATCCCCAAGCGCCCCCAACCTCAGTTCAATTGGTTTTCCCTCAAATATGTTCAGGGAGGGGGAGTGAGTCGGGACAAATTGAGAGCGGTCTCAGGCTTCTCCTTTTGGCAGGCTTCACAATCGTGGCGTCCTGGTCACTACCATGCCACCATCAAACAGATTAAATTAAACCTTAAGGATTGGGATCCTGAAGACCACTCACTCGGACAGAAAGGGATCCTGGATCCTAACAAAAACTAGCTAATATATGCAGAAAACATGTTGAAGCCCTTGACCTCAAATGTGTTCAGGCACTCCAGGAGCTCCAGTTGTGCTCGCCCAAACAGCTCCCCCAAAACATCCTCCACCCCGTTCGTGGACGAGCGTCCAGTGGGTGCTCGGGCAGTTCGGGCAGCGCCTTCGGCGCAAGGCTCGGGTGCGACTGGACCCGGGCGCCACGATTCGGGTGAGTGTCTGGACGTTGTGACAAGCTTAAGTTCTTGGGTTTGGGCAAGGTGCGCCTATCACTGGGATGCTTGCACAGGATTTGAGTCTTGTGCCAAGTGTGATCTTAAGACCTTCAGAGCAGGCAGGTGCACCTACAACATGCGCGGAGCATTTCACCCTGAGAGCCAAACTCCCTCCCTCCACGCTCCCCACACCGTAGGGCGGCCTCCGCCTTCGCTTCCTTCCCTTCGGCGCGGGCCAGGCGGGACTTCCTTTTCCGCGGCTTCTCCTCTTCCACCGAGCGATGGCGAACCGCCCGAGGAACAGCAAAAGCACCGGTCCATGTCCCGCTTGGTCGTTTTCTTCAGAAGCACCAAGCATTCTCCATGAGGCTTCCCTGTTTCCTGAAGTTCCTCCAACCGCAGCAGACACGCGCGCGCGCGTGACGTGACCGCGCGGTCGTGGTCGCGCCTCTTCGGGCTGCAAGAAGGTGGCTTTGCAAAAAATGCCATGCTTGTCGTTGCAGGTGAAATAGCGCTTCCCTTGCCTCAGGGCATCTCCACTGCCACGTGTTCGATGCCTTTTGTGGGGATTGTTTTTAGCCTTGACCGCTGGAGGTTCGGAAAACCACGCGTCTCGTTTTGGTCTGGAAGAGCTTGAGATTCTTGGACGAAAGGCACCGGAAACAATGAAATCAAAGACTTGGACACCGAACATGGAGTCTGTTCAGCTTTCTATCTGCAAAACGGCAATCTGTTGTCCTCACAAACTTTGGTGAAGCAAGTCCATTTCCGTGAACCCACTGTCACCGTGTTTTTTCTTCTAAGGTAAGTCTCTGCATTTGGGGAGTTACAGTCTAATTGATCTGTTTACTCAGTTTATATTATAACAAGTTTAATGACAATAACATACAGAAACAAAAGAAGACGTTCCGAACATCTCCATCTAACCTGCGTCTGAGTGACACACTTCCATCGTTCTTCCCCTTGGGCTCATCCAACTCCACGCCCACCCACTCGCCCGGCGCGAAGTCCGTCGCGCCCGTGAAGCGCACCGTGCCACCCGGCGTGACCTCGGTCCCCCGCCACCGGTCGCGGCGCGGGTTCCACCGGGGGTCGGGCCGTTTTGGGGGGTTTTCGGGCCCCACCCGAAGAAGTCTCGACATTAAGAGATGTACGTGTATATATATATATATTTTTGGTTTATTCTTATTGTTATTGTTATTGCTACTATTTATCATTAGTATTATTCTTATATTATATATAGTTACATAAACATATAAAGGAGCCTCCAGAAGTCGTGAAACTGTTGGAAGTGCCCGTTTGAAACGCATCACTGGCATGTCATGCTTGGGTAGTCTACCTGGGGAGTCCTGGCATGTCAGTGGTTGTAGCCTCCCCTAGATGGAGCAGTTCAAACAGATTCAAGCAACAGAAAAATGTGTCTTTCTTTAACACCCCGGTTCAAAAATCACTGCGCAGCAAACTTGAGGCCAAGCTGCAACGATATAAGGCAAGCACAACAGCAGCACACCAGCAGCACCAGCCCAGCAGCAGCAAACCAGCAGCCCAGCAAACTAGCAGCAGCAGCAGCCAGCAGCAAACCAGCAAATCCCCAATCCCCAAGAGAGTATGCCGCTGATCCACTTTTCCTGACTAGGCCCAGGCACCAGCTTGGATCGCACGGAAGCACGGGCTTCGCCTACACAGCTAGGACTCCCGCTAGGACTCCCGCTAGGACTCCCGCTGTCGACAACACTGTCGACTCCGAACACAAAATGGAAGTCGCTAGGCGTGGAAAACAACTTTCAAGGGGCCATGGTCTGTTTCCGGCTCTTTCCAGCTCGGAGGATATCTTACAAAGCCCAGAACTGACACGCGGTATGCATTTCAGTGTCTTTGCCTCAGCAGTCCCAGTAGTCTTTTATGAAGCCAAGCTATGCATAGCTTCGCTGCAGTAGCAAGAAATCTGCATAATCGCAGGTGTTGCACTCAGCACCTAATCTTGTTGGAAAAGCACATGTGTAACTAACTTAGGTTGACCACCGTTACAAACTCATCACCTGTTCTTTGCACTGCTTGGCCGCTGAATGGTACAGCTGCCTGGTCAGCCATGGTCAGCCCATGAACCGTTGGTGCACTACGAAACGGGCGAAGCCGGAAAATGTCACACACCTGCAGCAGTCACCTTGCCAGCAAAAATCGAAGCATGGCCATGCTCCTAGCGGTGGATGGAAAACCCTGTTTCACCCCAACCAGACGTAGCCTTCTAACATATCATATGTCCCAAACTGCGGTCATGCCCCCCCCCCACAAAGGTCACCTGCTCAGTTCTCATTCGCTCACAGGTGGGCCATTGGCGATACGTAGTCAGAGTGACTGTTGAAGTGGAGTTGACGCAAAAAAGAAGCGGTGCGGCACCTGCAGGCGCGGAGAGCCGCACGCGGCTGCCGACCGGTGGCGCCGCCATGCAGCGCGTGGTTCGGGCTCGACATGGGAATGGCGACTTGGCGGAGGTTCCCTTTGAGAGATCCTTTGAGCTTGGCACGCTTTGGAAGATTGCACAATAGTATGCAATAGTCTATGCAATAGTATGCTGCATGCAATAGTTCATTATAGTTCCATTTGAAAGGCGTTTCTCATGCTTAATGATTGTTGCCCTTAATCCTGGGGTCAGCAAACTCTTCGGAACCGATGGTCCCGTTAACGACTTCTCCCACATGCGGACGATCGTCTCCCAAAACGGTCGTGAAGATCGGAAGAAAACATGAAAAAACACACACACTACACTGTGTTCTTGCCGACAAACACTTTCCAAACCAGACCTGTGACACAGTGGAGGCTTGGAGGTTCCTTTTTTCCAAGGAGGCTTTCGGACGGAGGCGATCCGGTGGCATCTATGCCATTCTGGACATGACCAGAAGAGAAATCCGATCAGGTTCTCAAACTGCGGAGGGTGAAGAACTTGGGCGAAGTTGACGCTCCAGCACTGGAAACCGCAACGGCGCGTCCGCCGTCCATATTTCGATCCGAACCGAGCGGGTCGAACTAGTAGTAACAAGAAGCTACTAGAAACAGGTGCCACGCTACTAGAAACAAGTGCCTTACTAGTAGTAACAAGAAGAATCTAAATAGAATTGTAACTGTTTCTTTCTTCTTTGTTTCGCCATTCTCATGGATTCTCCAGACTCACGAGTCACTTCTCGAAGTGTCCAGCGGCGTCCAGCGGCCCGATGCCAACCTTTTTGGGGCGATGCCTGCTATCGAAGCTCATAGCCCTCTGAGCGCGCTTTACGGCCCGGCGCTTGGAGGTCAAAGGACACCTGATATCCTGAACTCCGAGGGGAGGGAATCACCGGATGTGTTTCCCATAAGCCTGTAAAGACCAACCAGATCCTCAGGTTCAGATGATGAAGAGACCAGATCAAGTACTTCGACACTGTGTATTTTTTTGCCAATGTTGCCCTGCAACTGATGAGGCCTCCCTCAGCTCAAAGAGCCTATGTTTGGAATCGTCGCTCAAATGCCTTCTTGAGTAGATCAACATGGCCGGAAGGCTTGGATGGCTTGGGTGTTTGGCAGCCTGGCAAAATTTATATAATTCTTTGTTTGATGAAATACAATGAAATGGAAACAGACTGAAAGTGCAGCGCAAAACAAGCCTGATTGCGCGAGTTGGTGTCATCTGGGAGTTTTACCCGCAATTCTCGGATATGCTCAAGGACCTTGAAAAGTTAAGGAGAAACAAGTGGATGTTTCTGCACCGGAAAGCATGAAAAAGCTGACACCTATGTTCATGTGTATCACCGCATCTCCCAAAAGCGGTTTTATCCCAACCCCCAGGGCCCCCCCAGTCAACTCGCCGTTTCTTGACACATGGACGACCATCCCATCCCCCAACACTCGCCCGTCCACCGTCCTCGGGAGAAGCTCGGGTGCTTCTGAAAGCTCACCGAGCCCTTGACCTCGACGCCTCCTTGCTGACCATGGGGAGGGAGGTGCCCAAGCGAGGACGACGACTGCGTTCGAAGCTTTCCGGTGGTGAGAAGAATGTGAATGGGGGAAAGGCAGGGCCAGGGAAGGAAGGGAACAAGAGGAAGAAGGAGCCCCAAGGAGCCCCATGACCAGCTGAAACGGAACCTGGCTTCACAATCAAAGTTCAATCCTTCTTCTTGTCTGTTCCTTGTTCTCAAACCGGTGCAGTTACGCAAACAGGGTTCCCGACGAGCGAGGTTGAATCCGAAGACCCACTTCTGACCCCCGAACGGTTCAATGGACAGGGCAAATCTACAGGAAACCATGATTGGAACCCCCAGAACTAGGAGTTTCTCTAAATGTTCCTCTCAAGATCTGTCAACCAAGTCTGTCAACCAAGTCTCCGTCCTTCCGAGCCACCCAACAGCCTCCAATGGGCTGGCGCAGGTAGAAGGCGGTCTGCTTCCAGTGCGTCGCCGCGGCGCTGGGCGCGGTGGACCTGGCGCGGGTGCGGGGTTTTCCCACGTGGAAGGGGTTGGGGAGGAATTGCAACGGAGATTTCACAGAAAAAAAAGATGTCTTTTGTCTGCTTCATGTTTCTTGAGACCGCTGGAAACAAGGGTTTTCACATGCTTTTGAAGGGGACCCCCCAAGGGTACAGAGTAAAAGAGCTTCTGAAAACCGTTGGTTGAATGGGATTTGTGTCTGGATGAAGAAGTAAAGTGGAGGGCAAGTAAGATCGCCAAATATTTCCTCGAGTGTTTGATACATTCGGATACATGTCTTCACAAGAATCGTCCACCAAAATTAACCAAGTTCGCTCACTCCCAGGTGCGCCTGCATCTCCCCCCAGCCCCAGCTGGTTGGCCAGGTGAAACACACCGTGACCATCACCATCTCTCCACTCCGCCCTCCACGCGCCGCGCGGTCACGGAGGTTCTCCGTCAACACGCGCCAGTGCGGCAGCGTCGCGGCGCCCGCGAAGTCGCACTCGAACCAGGCCACGAAGCCGTCCAGTCGCCGGTCGGAGGGCACACACACGCTCAGCCAACGCTCAAAGGCCTCGAGGTCCGCCAGCTGCCTCACAGCGTTCTGCACATTGGAAGTTGGACGTGCCGGTTTTCCTTCAAAAAACAATGGAACTCGAAAGTCGAGAGTGGAAGAAAAAGTCGAATATACTGGCGGCGAGAAGACGTTGTTCACGATGCAGATCCAGACATGTTGATCACTTGGTTCCATCCAAATTGACCAGCGGCAAAAATCAGGATCCGCTGTGAGGAACTCGACTAAAACCAAAGGAACAAAGTCGGAGAAAATTTAGCCCTCATGCCCAGTCTTAGACTGCAACGTGTTTGATTCGCTTTCAAGGTGCACAGAATGGAGATCCGCTTCGAAAATGCATGTGCCCGGCGCCAGAATCTTCTCAGGGTCAATGACATGATGCTGAGGAATTCCACAAAAGCTGGCAGTGGCCAGTGGCATCAGCGGAGACATATCCTGGGTGGCGAGGAAAATCGGGAGGGTCGGCTTTGGATGGAAAAGGGTCAGCAGGGCTTGGGGATGTAGATTTCATGTAACCATGAACCATCAAAACAGCAAAGGAATCACAGGCATCCCCCTGGCCTGCTGAATGTGTCACCACGAACGCCATGGATTTCAAGGGATTTCATGCTCTCCAGTGGCACGCCGAAGCTCAACCAACCGAAGTTTGCGCGCCGTTCGGCTCAGGGCTCCTTGGACACACCTGGGTCTGTTTGGGGGTGAAACTCAGAAGGAACATCAATGAAGCAGCTAAGCAGCTAGGTCCAAGCTACAGCATCTTTGGTCCCTCAAGTCTTGAAGGAGGCCTTGTTGTGATGTTCAAAGATTTCTCATCATGCCCCGTGCCCCTTTTGGAGCCATGGAGATTCCATGAATTCTTTGTCTGGAACGTGCATGCTGAGTAGAAAGGTACGCTGCGTTTCAAAGGGCCACACATCTTGATTCTCACAGTATCAAGCGCTTCCAAACACCACAGCAGTTCACAAGCCCATCTGCCATCAGCTGGCCACATCTGACCCACGAACTCATGTCCCCTCAAAGTACGCCGGAATTCAGGTCTTCCCAAAAGAGCACCCGTCTTCCAGAAACCCGTCGACCGCTCGACACCACCCAAAACCGCACCGCGCACGGCCGAGGGTCGATGCCCTGCACTCGGTGCCAAAAGTCCACCTGAAAAAAGGCGGGAGCGTTCGGGGCCAACAAAATAGAAGGCTTGGCATCGATGCATTTGTGTGTTTGCCTTTTCTGTGCTTTTGTTTTGCCTTTTGTTGTGCTGTTTTTGGTTTTGCCGTTTTTTGGCTTTGTCGTTTTTGTTGTTCCCCACCTGCTAGGTGAGGGTTGTTAGATTTTATCACAGTTGTTCTTCCTCCTCCTTCCTTCCTCCTTCCTCCTTGCTTCCTTCCTCGCCAATCTTCATCGCCAATCTGCTTCGCCGATCTTGTCTGGCCAGCTCCGGATCGCAGTGTGCACCCCTGGACCTCAACCGCAAGGATCCCCTTGCAGTGTGCACCCCTGGACCTCAACCGCAAGGATCCGATCGCAGTGTGCATCCCTGGACCTCAACCGCAAGGATCCGATCGCAGTGTGCACCCCTGGACCTCAACCGCAAGGATCCGATCGCAGTGTGCACCGCTGGACC